ATATGTTAATTATGTATAATATAATGTTGATATTAATATTTGAATTAATATTTGACATAAATATTAACATTACGATAATATTCTCCAAAGAAACACATTTTGCTTAAAATAAATATTTAATATTTAACTAAATTTATATTTAAAAATTTGAACTAATATTTAAAATTTTTGACTCGACATCTATCTCATAACTATAGTCGAAAACTGCTTAATTAGCTTTTAATTAATCGAATGTTCCTTACTCTTTCCAAAGTCCAAAATATTAGAATAATCGTCGTAAAATGCACGAGAGATAAGAACTGTCTAATTGACCAGTGATAAATATTACCAAATGCGAGAGACGCGCACCTAATACTCAGGAGAACTGCGCACTTTCCTAAATTTTTCGTGCATGCGTAAAAAATCTATAAACGCGCGTCCCCGTAGAAGCCACGTGTAACCGCGAAAAGCACAATTATCAAATCTACTCTGCCAAACAAGCTGATTGGTTCGTTCAAGGTCGTGAAATCTGATCGTCCATGTTTCAAAGGAGCAGACAGCAGTGTCGCTTCGGTTCTTTCGGCGTGTAGTCGTGTGGTTCTGCAAGAAAGCGCGGCAACCAGTCCGCGTTCCTCTTTTTTTTTTTTCGATTGTCGCAAGGTCGCTGTTGCCGCATTTCTCTTCTCTTTATTTCTGTTCTTAAGGCTCCTCGATTCGGAGAATGACCGTGGAGATCGATAAGGAGGAATTGAAAAAGCGCTTGACACCGCTGCAGTGGCACGTCACGCAGGAAAAGGGTACGGAAAGGTACGTTGTTCAGGTATCTGATTCGTTCATCATGGTATTACAAATTAAGTCGTGTCGCTCTTGCCTACTTCGTCCGTCTTGTTGCCCGATACCGCTGGAAAATTGGTCGTGGTTACGATAAACTTTCGTGCCAAGTACGTCACTTATCGCTACTTGACACGAATCTACATATGTAAACAATGTTCCATCAAATTCGGACTTTGTAACAAAAATTTGAATAACGACCTCGTTCGACTGTGCAACGAGAACTATTAACAATATACATATTAATGTTACTTGCGTTTATTTGTAACTAATTTGTGATCAATTTGTTGTTCGATTTATTGATTTCGTCTTTCATGCTTAATTTTGAACTAATTGGGATTCAAGTAAACTGCAATATTGAAATGATACGATTTTTCCGAAAATATTGCCCGCATGATGGAAATTGGTGTACTTTTAGGCGACGCGAGACTAAAATAACTTTTTCAAGACCATGTGTTGGCATGACTTTGCGTCATGACCGAGTGGTTTAAAAATAAAATATAGAACTTAATAATTAACTTCCTAGTGTGTACGTTCAATCCCTGACTGTCTTTTCTTTCCTCAGGCCTTTCTCCGGTTGCTACAACAAATTCTATGAGAAAGGCACGTACACTTGCATAATCTGTGATCAAGAATTGTTCTCTTCTGACACAAAATACGACAGTGCTTGTGGTTGGCCTGCATTCAATGAAGTATTAGATCAGGGACGAGTCAAGTTGACCAAAGACACTTCACATGGTAAGCAGATATGAAAGTTTTAAGTTTACTGACAACTTCTTTTTTTTAGAATTATGCTCGAATTTTTAGTATACGATAACACAGCATTTATCATGTATATCATGTTACATTAATTACAAGTAATTGCTTAAGTGGTACACGGATGAATTCTTTGTTATTGAGTTTGATTTACACATAACAATATAATCATATCATATCATAGACAGAGATACAGTTAGATCTGTTTATCATTCTAAAACATTCTTCATTTTTTTCTCACATTTACTCTATCACATGGCCTTTCCTTTTAGTTCTGCTATTCTCTCCCAAGCCTTTCACAATTTGTTTATCTTTTCATTTGATTGAATCGTCATAATGTTTTACATATAGTAAAGACATATACAGTTTAAATATTATACTATCAGTTTGTAAAATATATCGAAATAATATATTTTTATGATATGCTTTGTGCATGATAATTTGTCGTTACAATGAAATTCTTGCCACAGACATGTACATGTTTTTTAATCTATAAGAATAAAATGACTTGCACATACTTATAACTATTCATAAAATTTCTTTGTATTTTAAAATTGTAATATATGGAAGGCAATATTCCTTGTATCCTTTACCTTGCATGTTAATGCTTAGAGTGTGATTTGTGTTAGACTTATATCACCTGTTGTATAAATTAAGATCATAATTATGTATTAAAAATAAGTTTTTCTATATCTTGTCTTTATGTCTGAAAAAAGAAGAAAATAATATTTCTTGGCATTTGATCTATTAATTATTTTTACATGTAGCTTTGCTTTTGTAATATTAGTATTTGAGTAAATTTTAACAAAATTATGAAGCTTAAATTACATTTTATGTAATACTTCAAACAGTTTCTTTTTTTATTACATTTTAATACATTGCTTTTTAAAAGTCAAATAAAAATTTATATTTTCAAATTTCTATTGAAAGAGAATATATGTTTTATAATTTCTTTATATTAATCGCTAAGTATAAGTAAATTAGTTTATATGTTTGTTGATATTAGTCACATTGGATTTTATTTATATGTAACAATATATGGGTAAATTGAAATGTATGATGTGGATTTAAGTAGTGACTACAGTATTTGACTAGTTATTTAAATGGTACTTTATGTACTGCTTACAAATAACAATACTTTAGTAAAAGTAGATTTGATAACATGTATATTTTGAATATTTAAATTATGTTGATTAAATGAAATTGCTTTTTTCTTAATAGTCCATAAAAATATCTAACTAAAGGCAAACTTGTTTGGAACTACTTTAATATATTTTTTAATTCTGTCATACAATATCAAGACAGTTAGATATCAAAGGGGAATTTGGACAGAGCTTCGATGGATGAGTAAAGCAAGGAACAAGATTATATGGGTATTGATTAGAATGCGTAGCTATTTCTTATTTTATATACTATTTGAAAAATGTAATTGATATATTATATCTTTATTTTTACTTAAAGATTTCTATTTTCTTTCTTGAAACTTATTTAGGTTACTGATTTTAATTTTCATTGCAATGAACCTCTTGCTTTTATTAATATTAGTTTACTCTTTTTGGTGCTGCAATAACTGGAAAACATTTAAAGTGCACAAACAAAGGTGTTGGTCTGCGTTTAATCACACTCTATTATTCTATTTCCTTTGTCTTCCTATTGCTCCGCTACCACCACTTCACTCTCACCATTGACACACGAAACTGCGTCGACAATTGACGTACAGTTGGTGGAAATCTACTACTGCTGATCGCAAACCCAGATATGGTGCGGACCGAGGTGACCTGTTCAAAGTGTGGTGCACATTTGGGACATGTATTTAACGATGGGCCAAAACCTACAAGGAAGCGATTTTGCATCAACTCGGCATCCATAAACTTCCATTCAGCAGGAGAAGAGAAGAAAACGACATCATAAAACTAGGAGAACATCAATTTTAATGAAATTTTTGAAAATGTTTAAAATACATGACTTATTAAATTGATAAAAAAAAAATTTATATTTCTTAATAGATATGACTCTCATATTTTGTAATTTGCTACTATTTTATTACTCTTTAGAATTGTGAAGTTTCTTTAGCTATGAAAACAAACATATTAATAACAAATATTTCTATCTTGACATACATATTCAACAATTATTATGAATATGTCTTATGCATCATAAATTCTAAGTTCAATTCCATTCGTTAGAAAACATAAATTATATTATACAAATGTATATTTATAACGATATGGATTGCAATATTATAATCTTAGCATAAATTCAATTCTGTACATACACTCTAAATGACTGTAAAATAATACATTTAGTGTGTATAAAGTATAAAAATTTAATGTAAAACACTTAAAAATTAATTTATAAAACAATTCTATTGTTTTTTCATGTTACACATAATTGACAGAACGTGTAAATAATACGTATTATTTATTTGTCTGAATATATTAATTATATGAAAAATTTGTTACTTTATAGTCATTTCTTAAAACAAATTTTGTTTTAGTTTGATGTATATTTTATAAAAGAATATTTTGTTATTTAATCCGTGCCAAAGTATGGATATTTCACTGATTGAAATTCTTTTTTAAGCGAGGCGCCTGTAAATAAATTATTATCGCAAAGAGTTACAATAAACAAAAGGAAGGATTTTATTCAAAGGAAAAACGTATTTTGTTATAAAATGTTTCCTTATATTTTAACGTTTCAAAACAAACTAAAAGATGTTACAGTACAATATATACGCAAATTCTAGGCATAATTTTTACGATAATTCATTATCCATTTGCTGCTTTCTTTCATTTTTAAATTCGACACTGTTAAGTATTACTTTTCCTGAGAAACCAGATTTTTACCGAATGTTTCCGTTTGATGATAAATGCCAATTTCATACAAATAGAGATACAGTTAAAATAGAAATTTTTATTAAAAATCCGAAGCCAAAATCTGACATGTATAAATAAACTAAGGGCTTCGTTAATAGGCCTAATTTGTTTTATAAATTGAGATCTCAAAGCATTTTCAAAAACATCATAAAAAAATGTATGGAAAACATGCGTATTCATACTTAACATGATTTGTATATAGGAACCTATTTCATAGTTCTAAACTGACAATAATACACTTCTTACGAAGATACATAAATGCACTTGGAACAGTAATTGAAATAATGCAAAAACATTTACACTTGTCCACATTTTTATTAACTGCTTTATGTGAGATTTTATCAATATTAAAATATTATATTAAATATTAAAATAATAATGATTGCTTTAATTTTGCAAGTGAAACTTTTATTACAGTAAGGCATATTAATACAATTTTTTTTGTACTTTTGTTTATTCTATGAATAAACAACAGGTTTCATTTTCAAAAATCAATATATTTCTAATTATTATTTGCGTGTGTGCAAAATATGGACAAGTAAATTTTGCATCCAACCTGTCTCGATTTACGAATAAAAATAAATCTTATAGATAGCTTGTAGCTGAAATATGCTTAATAATTGCCGCAGTAATACAATGACATAAAATGGACGTTACTTTTTCTTTCTAAAGATATTTGTGAAAATGCAGGACCTCGTTCAGTATTTCTGATCGAGTTAATATCAATTTTGACCCTGAATTCATATTTTTTTTCTTTTTCTTTTTTTACATAAAACATATGTTCATTAATACTAGACGTGCACAATTATTTTGTTTTTCATACCTCCTATAATTGCTTACAATTCCTAAATAATTTGAAGTTGATGCTGAAACAAAATAGTGCAAGAGTTCATCCTTACAGAATACTGAAACAAATTTCATGCGATCATATATTGTAATCCCTGATTCTTCACAGGTAAGTAGATTTATTCTTTCAGCATGCAACTTCAAATTTAGGAGTAAGCGCAATACAAACTGAGCTGCTTCGTCTGTCAAGTATAATTAGACATTATTGATTATTATAAAAAAAAACTAATCAGGCTTTTACGAAAATAATCAAATCAGTAAATAATGAATACATTGTTACATATACGATTGTTCATTACCAAATAACGTATGCATTTTCATTTTTTTTTTTTTTGTTTTTTGTTTCATATGTAATATATCGTTAATTTCTTCAATATCTATTACACTTTTACGTGGCGTTCTTTAGCTTTAATTTACGATAAACTCCTATATATAATGAAGATGCAAAGAATAAAAGTAACAAATTTGAAAATGTGTACTCCTTAAACTAAAAGTATCCAAGGTTTCATTTTCAGTAATATATGTTTAAGATATAATACAATTAGGAAAGACATTAATTATTACGTTTAATGTAGTACAACCATTTAGAAACCTTGTCTTGTATAATCGTCAACATAAATTTATACATTTTTATCGATTTGTATGTCGGTATCTGCATTAAACAAAATATGAAATTATTCTGTTGATGGTTCAAGATTATAAGGAATCTAGCGCGAGTTTTTCACGTCTCTAAACATGACAAGACAGGCACTTTATAGTGTCACAAAATGTTCCTATATCTGAACCTTGTTTTAAAATTTCGTCGATCATCCGTTCACTTCTTGTAAGACACGTTAAAGATAATTCATATTTGACCTGTATCGAAGAACACACGTAACTAGACATTCGTCCATAGAAAGATGTTCTTACATCTAAACATATTTTAGTAACAAGGTCAATATCCCAACGTGTCTTGTCAGCGATGCAAATGAGAAAAAGTACTTATATTTTATCTTACAATTATAAATGAATAATAGCATTAAATAAGAATCGCATGTATTAAATTTATCATAAATTTCATTATATATGAAATTAATTTTCTATACTATGTACACAACATAATGCAAAAACTGCAATGTCCAAATATATAAAAAAAAAAAAATCTATTAAAACTTCAATTTAATATAACATAATGAAGTTTGCTAACATCCAATGACAAGAACGTGATTCTTGAGAACGTTTAAAACAAGTTAGGCTATCGCTTATACATCTACGTCATACTGACAGACCAAAGATTGAAAACATATTGCTCTGCTCTCCATAACTTCGTTCAAAAAATATAAGTCTAACACGAAGACCAATTTTCTTCTTCTATGATTTCTTGTTAAACCATAATAATATATTAGAATAGGTCCTATGTACTTGTTCACATTTGTTTATGGTATTATCTAATAAGGTTTTTGCTATAAATAATGTATGTTTGTAGCTAACTCTGATCTTCAATTTTAGAGTCAGTAATACTAGTTTTATATCTTTAGAAAATAACTGACAGTCGCTTGAAAATCCTCGATGACAGTTCAATATTAGTACAAGAGTTCATCAGGCAACAACCCACACATACAGTTTATCTTTTATTTTGAAGACTATTTCAATAAAATGTCGAACTCTTAGCAACTAATAAATACCCATCGAGGAATACAAGATTTCTGCCGTCAGATCGTTCACAGTTCTTCTGATTTAACTTTATTTCCTCGCAACATGCGAGAATCGAGCAATTTAAAAACTTTGAAACCATTTCTCGATACTTTTCACAGTATCGGATAAGTTCTATCTATCTATGACCTATATATATATTTATTTATATATTTATATATGTTTATTTATTATTTATTATATATTATTGAATTATTGTGCCGTTCCATTTTGGGAGGGTGATTCATTATTTTTCTTGCAAAATTATATTTTTATGATCATGTCGTATGACCATAAATACCACTCTTTTAATTACCTTTGGCAGCTTCCTTCGCTGCCATTATTAAAGGTGTTAAGGAAGCAAGTGGCCTTGCTAATTTCAGAAAAGGATGCTGTAATTTTCCATAAAAATACAATTTTAAAAATTCATTCCACTTACGAAAACTTAAATGCATTAACCAATTATTAATTTTATAGTTGTATAAACGTATCGTTAGAATTACCTTGAGTAATTCTGAAGCTGCTGATCGTTTCTCCACTTCAACTTCTAAACATTGATCCAAAAAATCTTGGAAAATTCCGGACAATTTATCCTTTTCTTTAATTTCAGGTTTTCCATTTGTTGCAATCAAATATAATGCTCTTAATGGATTTTCGTTTAAATATGGCGGTTCTCCTTCTATCATTTCAATAGCCATTATACCCAACGACCAGATATCAACCTACAAGATTTAAATGATTTTGCATATATTGCAAGACGGATATTAGTAATTACCACTAGATATCATTAGCATGATATTAGTAATTATAATACAGATATTATTTTACTTACCTTTGGACCATATTGTTTTCTTGTAACTACTTCTGGCGCCATCCAATATGGTGTACCAACCATTGTAGTTCGCTTGCTTTGTTCTGGTGAAATTTGTGCACAAAATCCAAAATCTGTTAGTTTCACTCCACCGTCTAGCCCGAGCAGGATATTGTCAGATTTAATATCCCTGTGTATAACTTGATTACAATGAAGGAACTCCAAAGCTTGTAGGACCTCTCTACACACTGCTGCTATTTGACCCTCATCCATACAAGTCTCAGTTACAACATCTGTCAAACTACCACCAGGCAAATATTCCATAACTACCCACAATTCTTCTCCTACGAGGTAACTATCCAAATAATTTACAACATTTGGATGCTTATTCTCCCGCATAACCAATATCTCGTTTATTATTAACTCCTTCTTTGGTTGTTGTGAAAGATTCATCTGTTTTATTGCAACTTCCATACCTGTTGATGTTTCAATTGCTGTGTATACTGTTCCTGAAGCACTGGAAAGATATAAAAACATTAAAAAAAAAAATCCTCAAAAGAACATTTACACTTTGTGTTATTGCAACTTACCCTTGTCCTATTTTTTCCATTTTCGTGTATTTCCTATTTGGATCACCCACACTTACAATTGTTCTTAATTTTTCTAATATTTCATCATCTGACATTTTTTTCTTTCTAGCTTTGTCAGTTTGCGCTGGTCTCGTTTGATCCGTTGTCGTTGATGTAGGAGTCGCTTGATTTTTATTTCTATCCAATTGGGATTGGTGTGACTGCTGTGGCGTTCCATTTCGTTGAGGTGATCCTAACGTAGTAGTTAATGGAGGTGGTGGTTCTTCTTCTATTGGTTTTGTATACTGTTGTAAAAGATTATTAGTATTTACATTCAAGTATAGAAAAAAAGTTAATTTTTAACAGTAGTCATTATTACTTACAATTGATTTCGTACGCTCTGGTCTAGCAGAAATCGGTGGTGGCGGCGGTTCATCTTCTTGTTCAGAACTAGTTGCGCAAGCGTCTGTTGGGGTACTACTTGGACTACTACTACTCACTCTATAATTTGAATGACATAAAATATATACAAAATAATATAGAATAAATATAAAAATAGGTTGAGAGGAAAAGAGAGAAAGAAGAAGGAATGACAGGAAGAGATTCAGGGACATATTTTCAAAGTAGTAACTGATACAGGATATGATATTTACAAAACATAGAAGTTCACCTGCTGAGTGAATGTTGAGAATGAGAACTTCCAGAAGCTTGTGACATTGCTTGACCACGAATGTTTCCTACTCCAGTTCCAACACTTATGCCCATGCTTCTAGGACTACTTGCTCTCTCAATAGGTGCTAAACATAAAATTTTATGTGTTTTATTTGTTAATTGACATAATAATAATAATAAAAACAACAACAACAACAATATAGATTAATACTTATGTAAATATTGTTAACTTACCAACTACCCCAACCATTTTTGTAGTTGTCATATATTTGGAACCTTTTGTTTCTTTACTGCTACTATCATACCAATTCAAAACATCTAAAACAGCCTGTGGATTTTTCTTCTGTTCTTGTTTACTAATATTACTAGACATAAGCAACCTTGCCCATGCTTCTGGCATCCCCTAAGATTGAAAATTATGTTTCAATTATAGTTATTAATAATCTTATACATAGAGATTTTTTAAGAAGATTATAAAGAAGTAACTGATACAGGATATAACATTTACAAAAGTGTAATTCTCAAAGTTCTAAAAACTAAGAGAACATCGTGCAAATATAAAATATTTAAAAATCCAATTATTACATAGAAGAAATTAAGATCTTAAGATCTTAAGCACTCAAACCAATATTAAATTTCATTCTGCAAGAAAGCTCTTCAATAATATTGAATGCAACGTTGACTAAAGCATCTATTGATCTACCAAAGCAGCTATGCTTCTAATCTATGCTAAATTCTAAATTTCAAATAAAAAGTAACAACTTAATCCTGTTAATTGCAACAAAAACAAACAGTTAAATTAAGTGTATGTATAATAAAAACGGAGTATAAACAAACTACTTTTGTGGTCATTTAAAATTACTTACTTTCAATGGCAGCTTGAAAGAAATACGTGTCTAATTAGTTTTTCATGTGAAAAAATAATAGGTATAAGAAGCATCAGACAAATTACCAAATTACTTTTCCACAATGTCCATACACATGTGAACAAGTGATGAGAATTTAATTCGTTTTTAGGTACGAAAAATCCATCTGAGATATGTTTTTATTATATTTAATGTTAATATTTAATAATACATTACTAGTTGTTCTTGTGATGAAGTTTCACGAATGAATTATTTTGCTAAAATACATTCATTTTTACATAATACGCAAAATTTTTATTTATTCAAATATAATAAAAATTTTTATCATAAAACAGATCAAATTTTTATTCAACTTGAATAAAAATATTATAATTTATTTTATTTTCATTTATTATACAATGTAATAAATCAATAAGCCAATGAATTGCAAAGCGAATGCTAAATATTACATATTAATAAATATCAATTTAGTAATGTTTCAACACTAAGAACAACAAACAATTGGAGATATTTTATATTTAAGAATTATATTTTTTATTTTCGATAAGGATTAAAAGATAATTATATAACCAGTAATGTAATGAAATAAAGAAATACTTATACTATGCAATGTTTATTTGGATACTCCGTACCATTGTATAGTAGCAAAGCAGAAAGCGAGTGCATTTTGAACAATAGTAACAAGTTACAAATATTAAATTAACTTACCGTAAATTCTCCAGTAACAGCATCAAATCCAACATGTACAGTATGTTCAAAGTTGGTGGGATAACTGATGTTGGGTTTGTCCTTATTTTCTTTTACCTTCATTTTGCTTTTTAATGTTTTTTTCTTGCGTTCATCAGAATCAGGTTCTTTAGGTAGTGGACGCATATCCACCGGTAAATTAGGTGTTGATTCACCTCTGAAACATGTTCAATTTATCATTATCTAAATAATGATATCAAGTGGAACAAAATAATCTATAAATTAAACTTTATGGCTATTTTAAATACATTTCATTACTTATAATATTAAGCTATTACTTATAAAACATGTAAAATTAAAACTACTTTTATTTTTCTGCTTTTGTGTATCTACATAAAATATTATCATTGCCAATTATAAATTATTTACAATATTCATATAAAAATATATGCATACTCATAAAGTTTGTTAGCAAGGCTATGTATAAAGACTTAAAAAGATAGTCTCCCACATCAGAATGTCATCGTGTCTGAACTGTAGGATTTTATTTTTAGCAACCACTAGATTAGTGTCTGTTATTCTATTTTTGGGAGATGCAGACCTCTACTTATTGCAAAGAAAATAATAAGAATGCAAAGTGTAACAAACTCATCAATTTTTAGTGTCACACAGCAATATAATGCTACAAAAATTACTCAATACTACATTTGTCACATACAATTCAAATCTAACATCAGAATCTAACATCAGAGTAAGTATACATCAAAATTTTTAATGTTAAACGACACTTCCTTTGAGAAGTTTCTTATTCTTAAATTACAATATACGTTACAGCACAACGTGGGGCATGAAGTTACCTATTTGACGTAAGTCGCACAGGAGGTGCAGGGGGTTTGTCTTCTTCATCTGACATGTTGTTTCTACTTTTGTTCCTTTGTTGCCAATCTACCTTACGTTGCTGCGTTTCCACAGTTACGTTCAAGGTTCCTGTGTCAATGCTACCAGCCCCTGGGTCCTGAGAGCACCCAGTCGTTTCGCCGTGCGACTCCCAATAGATCAAGAGTTTGGATCACAGTACACAGAGAATTCGCTACATCGACGAAAACACCAGCTCTGTCTGTTGAAAACATAAGACACGAGGATCCATCCACTCTCCCGTTGCTCTGGAAGAAAACTTGTCCTGTTGGATTCGACGAGCGTTATCGAATCGACGACGTTTGAAACACCGGCTCCGTATTACGGGTATAGACGTACACGTACGTGTACGGACTCCTAGATAGGCCGGTGAGAGGACGTGAAACAAAACGATGGGTAACAGAAAAAGAAACGATGCCCCTCCTCGTGGTTGACAGTTTTGGATAGGTGCTTGCTCGAGGTGTTGCTCGATGTCCGCGGGGAACAGCGGCGTCCTCGAACGGGTCAATGTCGTGAATATGGGGTGTGCTCGAAGACGAGGGACAGACAGGCACCTCCAAAGCGTGATTCACGCACGGATGCAGACACCGCGCCGCATCCACGGCTCTCTCTTCCTTTCTCTCCCTCTCTCCCTCACTCTCTTCCTCTATCTCTCACTCTTTCTCTCTTTCTCTTTCTTCCGTTCTCCCTCTATCTGTCTGGATCTCCTTTCGTGTCGCGATCGCTCTTTCGTTCTCAGAGCGGTTTTCACTCCTCCCTGTTTCTTCCGTCGGTCTCTCGCGCTCGCGAAAGAAGAGAAAAAGGAAAATACGATTGTATATATCGTGTGCCTGTGTATATATATGGCGCCGCTTTATCCACACGTCCGTAATGTGCCGCGTTTCGGGCACGGCGGAGGCGGAACCACGCGGCGCTCCAAGTCTTATCAATGGTACCTCATTTCGCGCGTACCGATCCGACGCCCGATGTCGGCGATTCCTCTTCCTGCTCCCGTGCACGGCGTTTTCGACGTTGATAAGAAAGTCTGTGAATCACCGCCGCTGCCGCGGTTCTCCTGCCACTGTACAGCGCCTCCACCGGAACACCGTTCACTCCCTCTCTCTTCGCATCTCGCTCCTTTCCTTTCCCTTTCCTTCCCTCTTTTCCACTTTTTCCATTCGCCTCGTTCTCTTTTCTTCTCACCGTACACTTGCAAGGTTTGATCATTAGTACGTGCACATATATATTTTCGTCTCTTGCCTATACCTACTGTCGGTTAACACGAGTGAACGAGTTGTGTGCGTATATGCGCGCGCGCGCGCGCACGTATAATTTTGTGTGGTGTGTGCATGTATGGTGAGATTTAAAAAGAAATTTAGAATAATATAGGTTGGAGCTAGGTGGTAAGACTGCGAGTGAATCAATTCCAGGTTAGCCAACGTGAAAACGGATACTGTTGTAAACTTCATTACGGTTTCACTCCTCGAAAATTAAACCTTTCGGTTGATTGTTTCGTTTTCTCGAAGATAAGTTACAAATTTGTATATTCAGGAGAGACAGAGACAGAGACAGAAAGAGAGAGAGAGAGAGAGAAAGGAAAAGAATATGTGCTTGAATATTTTAAAAATTCAATTTTACACATGTGTGTAAATTGTAGTTGTTTAGTAATTTTAACTGTTTGCTATTTTCATGCAAGTATCTATTGATATTTTTATTCATATTTGTATGTATAGCGAATTAAATGCATTTCAACGAATTAATTTTATAACGTACTTGAAAGTGTTCAATGTTTTTTCCTTCAACTTTAAAATTTTTATTGGAAAACCATATATTATCAATAACCATATATAAATCACAAAATTTTTAGAAAACTTTTGTCGCTGAGTTATATTTGTTAAAAATATATCACTTTGCATTTAAATAAATGAATATTGTACGTCTATAAAAAACATATAGAAGGATTAACTATGGTATGAAGTTGCAATAAATAATAATAAATGATAATAATAAAAGTATAAACTTGAATATTTAAAATGTGAAATATGATGATAAATTTAACAGGATAATATATAACATTCCAGTATCATGAATATTATTAACAAGTATCAAATTCTTTTTCTGTAATTGAGTTTTTTAGTTAAATATAGTTATTTATTATAATTTATTACAAGTAGTTTTATTAAATTTAGTTATAAATATTTAAGTATTTAAAAATAGATGTTTTAATTATAATGCACTTGTCAGAGTAATTTTTGGAATTTAGACAGTGATTGTAATATGATGTATTTAAGCACAAATTTATATATGTTTCAAATTCCACAAAACATTCTTGTAAGAAAATGATATATCTATCATAATATATATTTTTGTATAAATCTCATTTTTGTAATATATCATACCAGTTTAAAAATTCAAATTCTTTAAGAACTATTATTTATTTTTACGTTTATCCCTGTTCTTTGTGATACTTTAAGTATGTAATAGTATATTTTAATCTTACATACATTAATTGTTGAATATATTTATATTTATCCTACATAAAATTCTTAACATGATTGTAAATTTTCTATATGATTGAATTTGTTTTAATGTAAACGGATTAATATAAGAGAAACTTAATATAAAAAACATACTATGATTAATTGGTTAAGGAAACTTCTATAAATTTTGTTTATTGAAATTATATTAGAAAATGATAGCTTTAAAAGTGTGTAATATTAAGTTAACTACATTTATATTTATTGTAAGAAAATTTGAATGCAAGTTTAAAAAATTAAATTTATCATTTATAATACATATATGTTATATTAATTCAATGTATATAGTTGATTTTAATAAACTATATGATTTTATATACTTTACTATGTTATATTATTTTGTAATTTTATTAAATTATATGTAGTAAAGTACGTGTTATATATTCATTATTCAAAATGTTTGGAATAATATATTTTGGTAATATGTTTATTGGAAAAATATACATATTTGTAATTATGTGTAATTATGTACAATTATGTACAAAAATAAAGATGTTAATAATATTTGAATTTAATGTTGAGGAGTAGAATATATTAATAGTATGAATATTTTATTTACAACTAAATTTAGTAGTAACTTGTTAAAACGTATTAAAATTGTAAGTATATTTCTACATATTTCGTACAGGTACATATTTAAAAAATTTTGTACATAAATTTCGAATATATATACATATTCGAAATAAAATATAATAAAATAAATATAAAATAAATTTCCAATAATGTTATATACACATATTTAAGATGGAAAATAATATTTTTAAAAAGTATTTAAATGAATCATTATTAATTTTCTATATACAAAATCTGATTCTATATATGTATAAAAAAATTTATAAATTCGGGCAAAGAAATAAAATTTGTAAAATGTTATATAATTAGAAATATTATTTAGTAATATTGAAAATATTTATATATCTGGCGTCTTTACGTTTCATTAACTATAGTTGGTACAATTGACACATCTCTATAGTATCTTATCTTTCAATGATACTTGAATGATGACAATATGTGTGAAGTTAGCTACCAGAAAGTGTTAATCACATAGCAAAAAAAGAAAAAAAAAATAGAGGGTAATCGTAATTTTCATGCCATAAGATTGTTTACTATCAAGGAAATCATTATTTTCATTTTCACGAACAGCTCGTGTCCTCTATGTTGTGAAATATATGTAGATAAATTTGTTAATCGACAATAGTGTGTTTTTGTTACAAGTCGTGAAGCTATACTATGTGATTCATCCAACAGTGTAAAATAACCTCGATATGAAATTTGACATTTGACCATATATTTGACGTATGTGGGCGATATATTTCTATCGCAAATATATAGTAGAAGTTTAATTGTATGATTATATTATACTGTTCAATAATTTGTTGCAGGAGACAACAATTAACAACTGTTTCTTATAAAAAAAAAAAGAAAATAATCTAAATCAGTTGTAATTAATTCTTAGATTTAGCGTCAATTCAAGATGAAGAAAAAGGTATTTAAATATTGTATTCATGTCTACGTTAATTTACATAGTTTGCTAATGAATGTTTGTGTAATTTTCATACATCATAAATGTTTTTTAGGTTCTTCTGATGGGTAAAAGTGGTTCAGGAAAGACCAGCATGCGTAGCATAATTTTTGCTAATTATATTGCTCGTGATACACGCCGTCTGGGAGCAACAAGTGTGTAATACTTGGTTTATATCATTTCATCAAACATTATCTTTTGCATTACTTATTAATTTATTGATATATTTAATAGTTGATGTGGAACACAGTCATGTCCGATTTCTTGGCAATTTGGTATTAAATCTGTGGGATTGCGGTGGCCAAGAAGCATTTATGGAAAATTACTTTGCGTCACAACGTGACAACATATTTAGGAATGTAGAAGTTCTGATCTATGTTTTTGATGTAGAATCCAGAGAATTAGATAAAGATATGCATTATTATCAAAGTTGCTTAGAGGCAATATTGCAAAATAGCCCGGAAGCAAAAATATTCTGCTTAGTACATAAGATGGATCTAGTACAAGAGGATCAGCGAGATTTGATATTTAGGGAAAGAGAAGAAGATCTGAAAAGACTTAGCTTGCCACTTGAGTGTACTTGTTTTAGAACTAGCATATGGGATGAAACATTATATAGGTATATTTTTACAACTATACAGATTTATATTCTATAATTGCATACAAACCATTATACTTAGGGCGTGGTCTTCAATTGTTTATATGTTAATTCCAAACGTGAAAGAACTTGAACAAAGTTTGAAACAGTTTACCAATATCATTGATGCTGATGAAGTACTCTTATTTGAAAGAGCAACGTTTTTAGTGATTAGTTATTGTCAAAGACAACATCATAGAGATATACATCGATTTGAGAAAGTTTCTAATATAATCAAACAGTTCAAATTAAGCTGCAGGTAAACTATGAAAAGTAGAAAAATATTATATAAAATTTGAATGTATATCTTTTATAAATTATATATTTTCAGCAAACTGGCAGCACAATTTCAGAGTATGGAAGTTAGAAATACGAATTTTGCAGCTTTTATTGATGTATTCACATCGAATACATATGTAATGGTTATCATGTCGGATCCTGCTATCCGTAAGTATTTGCAATTTTAATTCTTTTTTTAAATAAATACTGAAATATTTATTCATATTGTTTCAGCATCAGCAGCAACATTAATCAATATTCGTAATGCGCGAAAACATTTTGAAAAACTAGAGCGTGCTAGTCAAAGTTCAGCATTAAGTAGATAGAAATCAGCTCGACCCAGGCGCATTGTCACCCGGGTCCAGGCTGTTAATCACTATTAAATCTAAGAGTCACTTTAAAACAGAATCATCACAATGAAGGTGCATAAAAACTTTCCTTTTTTATCAATTAAAATAAATCAATAGTATGCCAATGAATAAATAATTTCAACATGTAATGTGTAACAAAAATCATTATTAATAGTAGTGTAATTTTCAAAAAATCATTCTGTTTATCAGCAAAAAAGTTTAAATTAGTAAGTTTGTTTTATACAAAATTTAAAAGAATACTAAAATATTTGCTGAGCATGTATGTGTTAATAAATGAATATAACAAATAAATACCTGTTAGTACGAAATTGTGCGCTATTAATATCATATTAAGCGGACATATATTGTTCACTTACAGTAAATACTCTCTTGGCTCTTAGATAATACATGGTTTTCTGGGTTCAGATTTTCCCTGGCTCCATGATATTATGTATTTTATTTCTGTATAGCAATTATTCTCTCTCTGGCCTGTTATAAAGATATATATTTTCTTAAATTACACTTACTTAATATAATAATGTATATATACTTATTATACTAATCATGCTGTTGCAACAATGAAACTAACTGTAATTGTATCTTTCAATTTAGATAACGATAGTATTAATTGTACGTTATATTTTGTATAAAATTTTGATTGGTACCTTTTCACACACACGCGAAAGAAGATAACAGATACTGAACTTGTATAAGTTTATTTACAACTGTATTTACGAAGAAGTAATAAAAAAAACATGGAATATTGTAAAAACTGCTCGTGCTTCCATATGTATCAGTAAAACTGTTTTTTAATCGTACGAATAAATCTATTAAATTAAACGTGATTTCAATATTCTATTTAAACGAAGGGTAAAATGTTTGTCATACATTTAAAATTGCCGCCTTTTGATTAGTAATGGCGAAATCGCATGTTGTCACCATTTTAGATTGATAAAACATCTACGTAAAAGTGTATAGTGTTTATTATGGACAGGATAATCAAAGGAATTATGAAATATAGAAATTGCCACAGGGAAGAAATGGTGAAACAGTTTAAAAAAGTTCGAGATCATCCCGAAGTATGTTAAAATTATTCTCTCTAATTCATTATTGATAATGTATGAATATATTTATCTCTTTGTGATGTTTCATGTTTTATGTCATGTTAATATTTAAATTACAAAGAACGGTATTAATCATTGTTTATATTTATAATGAAAGATAAGACAGAATATAGTCATATATATGTATATATATATATACACATTTCACATATTATATATACATATATATTTTCTACTATTTGTAAAAGAGATTTCTTTTCATGCCCTTGAACTAAAGAATTATTCATAAAAACATCATACATATGTATATACATGCAGAGACAAAATCTTATCTCTGCAAGCACGTGTATGAGTTACTTTAATAATGTGATCCACAAAAATTAATTCAATAATAGTTTAAAATGTTGTTCATCAAGCGTAAAATTATTAAATCAAATATTAAAAATCTGCTTTGTTATTATTAATATGCTTTGTTGTGTGAAATATTTATTATATTTTTCCTTTTTTCAAATTGTTATCATGCATGGAACTTGTGAGATGCTCACATGTGCATATATGCGTTATTTAATCTATAAACAAACTATTCGTCATGAAAAATATAAATGTTACACTATTATTTGTATAAATTACATTACTAATTTAAGGTGCAATATTAACACTTATTGTCGTAATTGATCTTTTTGTTACTCTTACTCACAGCCAAAGGCAGTGTTTTTTACCTGTATGGATTCACGGATGATCCCAACTAGATTTACGGAAACAAACGTTGGAGACATGTTTGTCGGTACGAGTTTCGCCATAACATTATATCTTCGAATTTGAATAACTTCGCATATCAATTTAATACAATCAAACAATATATTTGTAACGTTCTAATTTAGAAGTAAATATTTTTCTTTCAATTTATTCATTTTAGTAATGAAATATGTTAATAATAATAATCAAAAATGTTCGATGTAATAATAATTTATAATAGATTATAAAAATATATTTGAGTTTAAGCAGGAATTTATTTTACTAAATATAATAGTATTCTAATTAATATTTTTTAATTTTTATAATAATATTTTAATTTACTTTAGATATTTTTTATATTATTATATATTATATATTTTACATTTTTACGTCCATTAAGTTTTAAACAAATGCATAAAAATCCGCATTCCAATGATCATAAAATCAAAGTTAATTCTAATCTTTCAGACAATATAAATTTCATCACAAATTTTATGATTTTCAGTAAGAAATGCTGGCAACCTTATACCTCATTCTCAGCATTTTGTGGACGAGTTAACAATGTGTGAACCGGCGGCTTTGGAACTTGGTTGTGTGATAAATGACATAAGACACATTATAGTTTGCGGCCATAGCGACTGCAAAGCCATGAATTTACTATATGCTTTGCGTGACGAGGAATTCGCATCGAAAGTACGCACTTTATTAGTTTTACTATTTTTGTACCTGTTTCGCTAATTTATAATAATTTTTACCTCCTAGGTCAACAGGAGGATATCACCGTTAAGAGCATGGTTGTGTGCACATGCTAGCAATAGTTTAGCGAAATTTCAACAGCTCGAGATTGCTGGCTTTCGTGAGCCGATACTTTTTCAAGCTGAAACGCCTTTACGAAAGTTTGTGGCCTATATCGATCCTGAAAATAAATTTGCTATAGAGGATAAATTATCTCAAGTTGGTATAAATAAAAATCAATCAAATTTTAATCAGTTATAACTCTGTAATGATATGCTATTTTACTTTTGTAATAATTTCTTTGTTCTTTTTTTATTATAGCATCTGTCTTTAAAAACTTTCTTTATCTTTATTTTTATATACTATTTTAATCTTAGATTTTAATAATAATTTTGAGTTATATGTTATACCTAGTACTATAGTTATTAAATTACATTCTAAATTACAATTATAATTGTAGTAGTAAGTACATAATTATATAATAATCATAAAATATAATTGTAATTTAAAATGTAATTTATTAATCACGAGTAGTAATTAATTACATAATTATGTAATTTTAGTTACTTTAATTCTTCATTTTAATAATAATAATAATTTTATATTTAAAATCATAAATTTTTATAGGAAATGTTACAATTTTCACAATTTATAACATTAAATTGAAGTATGTTTTAGATAAATACATGTATCTTAATTTCAGATAAATACACTGCAGCAACTACAAAACATAGCTTCTTATGGATTTTTAAAAAAACGGCTTGAAAGGCACGATTTGCATATCCACGCGTTATGGTTTGATATTTATACCGGCGATATTTATTACTTTAGTAGAGCGAATAAAAGATTCGTAGAGATAAACGAATCGACCGAGGCGTCTTTACTCGCAGAAATTAAGAAATATTATTCTTAAATTGCCTAGTAGCCGTCTTAAAGTAGTCTTTTATGTAGATAGGAAATGATTTCATGGTTGAGACTGAATAACCGGACAAATCATTGAATCTCTCAAGAACGTCCAAACGTAGAGTGCGAGTTAGATACTCGTTCAATTGAAGACCATGTAATGTACCTGAATGTGAAAGTAGTGAATTTTCTACCTTCGTTTTTATTAAGATTCATATTACAAACTTGTTTGCACAAAATAGACCGCTATGACAATATTAGAGGAATTTATAATAAGAATATTTAACATAGATTTATTTCTAATAATATGCAATGTATAGAAACATGTTTCATTGCATATTATTAATGTACAAGAGGATCTTTCACACAGCATGTGTTCGTTAATGTGTAAGGTTGCAGAGAAATTATTTATTTATTGATGGTATATATATTCTATAAAAATGTGCAGAATGTCAAACGGAATTTTATTTTTGGTACTACATATATAAAAAAATATAATAAAAAAATAATGTACTGTTATACGATGCATACAAAGTTTATTCAGAGGATATTTATAACAATTTATATAATTGTAAATATTTCTATAATTTATATAATTATACCATATATTCACTGTGATAAATATATACGGAAAATATATTTATTGTTTTTGGAATCACCTGTTTGATTCATTTAACGATCCACTTGGCTACCCGCCGATATACTTTGCGCCTGAATCGCGTAAAATTGAAGCCGAGGAATAAGACGTTGGAGGACGTACCGTACTGACGGATGGATGGTTTCGTGGCCAGGCGAACTAGAGCATGCCACTCCCGAAAGAGAAAGCAAAACAACGAACCAAGGTGTAGAATTAGGATGATGATAAATGTGGTATCAGAAGTTCGAGTTAATTTATTGACGCAACATAGATATAATTCACACCTACCGTAAAATATTTCAAAATCATTGAAATCATTGAATCACATAAACAATTAATAATATAATAAAAATAATCCTACATCTTATACGATATTTCTTGTTTTAATTTAGTTTTAAGCTGCGTTAAAATAGTTTTATTATTTTGTTGCAATAATGTTGAGTTTAAGATTAATAATTTGATTATACCATTTCTATTAGTTTTGGTTGACTGTTTAGTTGTTATGTTATATATTAATATATAGTTGCTGCACTAAATGTTATTGTTGATTATAAATATTGTTTAATTAATCAAAATAAACAGAACATTAATTATTAGATGTCAGTTAAGTAGTATATTAAATATTATAAAAATTGTTCTAAATTATACTAAATTTCTAATATTTAAGAATTATTACTAAGGCTAATAAAATTAGAAAGCTGGTTTTAGAATTACCTGCTAACTATATAATTTGTTCAACTAAAAAAATAATTCATTCATGCTCTTTTTGTTTTATCTTCTATTAGGTCGAAACCTACAAAAATCTATTTGGTGCAGCTTTTATAATCATTTGTTATGTATCTAAAAAGAATAATCTCGCTGAATCATTGTTTATAAAAACCCGTCTCAAACTGTACACCAATAATTATTTTGTAAAATCTCTTTACGTAAAACATGAACTATTCAAGTATTTATATTTAGCAACAAAGAGCATTATACTGTAGCGATAAGCATCAGAGAAGTCCGATGCAAATCAACAATTTCACCAGTTAATTCCATAACTCGACGTGCATAAAAATGCCATAAATCGTCGGAGGAAGTAAGTGTATATCTTGTCTGAATCAGGTTTGAAACGTATTTCATTTGAAGCAATTTTTGTTTTGTAATAAAAACATAATAACAGTTATATCAAATGAAATATGTAAATAAGATAATATATTATTCATCACTTTTGAGATACATTATTTGAATATATTATATTATTTCACATATATATCTGAAAGTCCAAGCTTATTACTAATTTATTATTATCTAATGTTTTACAAATTAGTCTAATATTTTACTAATTAGTGTTTTACAAATAAGTAATTTTAAATAAAAAATTAGTAATTTTATTTAGTAAATAATTATTATTAATTGGTAAGCAATTTTATTTAATACGAAAGAAAAATTAAATTCGAATAAATTATTTCCAAATAATTTCTCATT